CCGGACTTGAAAATTGACAATTTTGACCCAAAATAAATGATAACGAAAGACAAATTATAAAAATATTCTAAGAAATAAAGTACGTAACAGTATTCTTATGAGAATTTTATTTATATTTTATTTTCGAACATACTTGTCTTTGCCTCTACAATAAAAATAAATGTTACGTATAAATATTGAAGTGCGCCAACTCTCAAGAAAGAGAGTAATAACTTGCTCTTGTAATTTTAATACAATAAATTTAAAATATAATAAAAAACCCTTGTTACTGGCAATTAATAAAGCACCTGGTTTTTAAGGTGTTTGATTCCAAGTATTTTCCCCCCTAAAAAACAGGACGAAATTTTTGTAATATTTAAAAGCTGGCATTAATTATAAAGTTCTAAATAAATAAAATATAAAAAAATGATGCGCGCTTGTGAATAAAGTAATAGAACTGCAGAAGGGAAGAGGGCAGAGCCATTGTATGGAATGCGCAAGGCGGCCGTGGCTGGAAAGAGCCAATATTCGAATCTAGTGGAGCTCCCACTACCTCTGCTTCCCTAGTTTGCCCCTCCCCACACTTATTTAATTTTATTTAGTGTTTTAAAATATGAATTTCTAAAATACCTTCAACAAAATGGTAATATAATAAATTTTAAGAGATCTCACTTGTGAGTTGTGATGCAAAACCTTCCTCGTTTTCAAAGGCCATCCGTGTGGCATTATCAGTTTATAAAGCTTTTAGAAACTTGGTCCTGCCCAATGTAGGACTCGGACATTTTAGCAAGTTGCGCCGGTTAAGTTTCCGAAATAGAATACGAACATCAACTTATTTATTTGAAGGTTTTAGTGGTCTTGGTGCCAGGCGAGCATAGGTTTGGTGTTATTCAAAAGCCATGAAGCTTGGAGCCTTTTAATTTATGACACTGATTATTTTGGCCCAATTAATTAACCAAGTGTTTAGCAGTTTGCTGATGATCAGGCTCCCCGCACTAACCAGAGTTCTTTCTTTTGTTAATTATCTTATGTGAGATTCCATGATTTGTGACTTTGTGTTAAAGAGAGGCGGTTCTTTTCCGTTTTGTGCAGCTTTTGCTTTGTGCATCGCTCATATTCCAATTGTATTTGATTTGCTCTTCTCTTTATTCTATTCAATTTAATCAGGTGATGTTGAATTAAAACATCAAATACGAATAATTTTAATAGAAAATATGATATATATAACATGTTACAATTAATAATGCACCGTATAATGAGATTTTTATATGTCAAGCAAAATAGATCTAAAATTAAATTTTCTAATGTTATGTTTGGATGCATGTGAATTTGAATTTAAATTTGAGCCAAATTTATTATTTGGATAATTAAAAATATATTGATCTAAATCCAAATCCAAATCATATTCATCTCAATTTCTTTGTAATTTCAAATCTTTTCCAAATTTCTGTTATTTCAAATTTTAATGGAAGCTACTCTCTTCCTCCGTGTTAGTTCATTGACTTCGCTACTTTTTTGACTTTGACATCGCTACCTTCGACTGACATCCATTGAGACCTGATCGCTAACATTGATTGGGACTGGATTGCTAGCATTGACAAGAATCGGACTACAGGCAATGACTAGGACTACAATGCTAGCACTGACTAGGATTAGAATGCCAGCATTGACCATGACCTAATGATTGATGTTGATAGGGATTAGATTGCAAGCACCGACTGAGACTTAACAGCTAATGCTAACAAAGATCAGACTACAAGTGTTGATTGAGAATAAATGGTCGGATGTTAATTGGAATTGCACCAAACGGCACATGATAGCCAACCGTGACTATATAGCCATCCATGAATGAGACCTTATTGTTGGCTATGACTGAAGCCGCATTGTCGATTGTGACTAGGACAAAACAACTAGCTTTGAATGGAATTGGATGATTGGCCTTGATCGGGATGGGACAGTCAATTGTGATTGAGAAAAGACCATTGGCGACAATTTAGACTGAATTGCTAATGCCAACCAAGACCACCCTCCTTCGTCGCCTAATGCCAGTTTGCTGTTGTCATCATCCAACGTTGGTCTAGTGCCATCATTCAGTGTTGGTTCGCTCCCACTGTTTGATGTTACTTTGTCACATCCAACCTATATCAATTTGCCACTACTGTAAGCATTCTAGACTAGTCTGCCGTAACCTTTGTCGTTTGGCCCCAGAGTAGAGCTGGGAATACGAGCGAGCCCGGCCCTTAAGGGCCTAAGCCCTAAAGCCTGATTTTTCATTTTGACCCTCATTTTTCAAGCTCAACCCTTATACTCAGGGCTCAGGGCTAGGCCCGTAAGCCCTTTTTAAAAAAATAAAAAAATTAAAATAAAATTAAACATTATAAATAAATTAAAATATTTTAAAATTAAAAAAATTAAAATCATCATAATTTTTTAGAAATTAAATAACATACATTAGAAGTCTAGTAATAAAATTTAAATCTTTATTTAAAAAATAGTTCATTTTTTTATAAATATACAAACATAATAATTATAGAAAAATAAAAAATATCATAAATTTTATACTATACACTGATATTTATTAAATTAATTTTAGAATAAATTAAAATTAATAATAATATAATGTATGTTGGATCAGGTGAGCAGGTCATTGATTTCAAACACGTGTTTTACTAAAAAAATAATAATAAAAATAATATAACAGGGCTTGAAAGGCAGCTCGGGCCCGAGCCCTATTTTACAGGGCTTATCAGGGCCAAGCCCTCAAGCCCGATTACTTTAAAAAAAATTATTTTTAAAGCCCAAACCCTTATTTAAACAGGGCTTTCAGGTCCGGCCCTTATTCCCAACTCTACCTCAGAGGGAGAGCTTTAGTGTTGTCATCCAAGTCCATTCCACATCCTTCAGATTGCTATAATTGAATAGGATCATAGTTGTTGAATAGGATTGGCTATCGCTACCGATTGAGACTAGACCACTGACGTTGTTTGGGTTTAGACAATTGGAGTTGACCTAGATTTGCCACCCTTAATCTGGACCGGACCACCAACTTTGACTAAGATTAGATTGCTGATATCATTCAATTGCCTTAAAATTCAAACATGAAATTTGAAATTTAAAATTTTATTTAAGATCCAAACAATGTACTTTAATATTGTAATTTGAATTTTTTTTATATCATTCAAATAAATAATTTAAAATATATGAATTTTAAACAAATTTTTAACTCAAATTCATTCATCTAAATGTAACCTAAAGTTATTTCAAATATCGTCTACTAGACATCTAAAAAGTTTGCAACACTGAATAGAAAGGCTAAGAGTTTGTTTGAGATCTGGGTTTATATGATAGTCCTTCCTATAAATAAAGATCACCGCCCAAGGTTTGTTCCCGCAAATTGTCTGTCCTAGACATATATTCCCCCCTCCCCGTTTTTATTACATGAATATCTTTCATTTCAAATAATATCTTTAACTCTTTTAGTTATTTCCTATGATTGCATTTTAATTTGTACGTGATATGTATTGAAACAATAATTATATTATTAAAATGACTAGTAAAAAGAGTAATATAATTTTTTTTATTAGAAGTAATATAATTTCATCTGAGAGGAACGTGTAAAAAGTATATTTCTCTGATATAAACAGAGCAACCAACATTAATTGAAGGGAATTAATGTTTACAACGTAACACATTTTTTTAAAAGAAAGATCAAATTTTATTAAATCACAAAGAAAACTATTACAAACACAAAGATCCATAAAATCTAAATTTCATAGGTCAACATGAAAACAACATGCTGGAATAGAAATTACAACTTTGCACTTAAATTTATAATTTTGCTTTGATGAATTTATAACTTGTTTTATTCATTTCAAATTTGGGAATAGATTGCATCATCTAAAATTAGAAATTTAAAATCTAAGGAACTTACTACATATTTTAAAATTTATTGTGACTTTAATTGAATAAAATGATTCATTTGAAACTTATTTTTAGTGAAGAAAGCCCAATATGACTTATTCATTTAAAATGATTCATTTGAAACTTATTTTTACAATTTTTGTTAGTGAAGAAAGCCCAATATGACCACAATAACGTCACTTCTGGCCAACAGAGAGATAATCCAAGCCCATAGGTTTATTTTATTATTTAAAAATGTAAAAAATAAAAATGAGAGGAAAGCAGAAGGAAATAAAATCGAAAAATGAGGGAATATGAACGCCGAGAAATGGAGGCAAGGATCGAATAAAGCAAGGAGCGAGCGAGAAGAAAGAGGAGAATGCTTTCAAGTCCCACCCCAAGGCATGTGAGCTATTGTGGTGCAGTTTTGGCTTTGGCAAAGCACATTCTCAAATTTAATTCAAAAGAAAAAAGCAACGTGGTGTAACATATAAGGATGATCCTCACTATATTAACAAATATAAAATCAATAGTCAACAATTTTTAATTTTTACATTTGTACAATTATAATATGCACAAATCTCATTTAAAAACATATATTATTTTGCCATATATTTCTTGAACTTTTTTGATGCAACTATTTGAGAATATATATATATATATATTATTTAATCTGATGTGTATGTAACTCTTCTCATGTAATGTTTTATATTCATAAAGTTGAAATAATTGACCTCAGAGTTGAATCTATTATAGCTTTCCTAATTTGTATATTGATAGTTATAATTATAATTATAAATGATGTATTATGGTGGGATACGCAGTAGGTAGAGATTAATGTTCAATCTCTATCTTAGTACATTAAAAACAATTATCTATCAATTATAAAAAAACAGATTTTAAATAAAAAAGGAGACTATACATAATTACATGCTATCAATATGCTTACAAAAATTACGTCACTTTTTTCTTTTATGAGAGCCAATAACAAAACCTAAATTATTGCCGTCCTCGTTTATATTAGATTGAATGACATCGCAACCCTTCGCTCCCCATCAAACGAAGAACCAAAGGCACGTGGCTGCACGCGCTTCTCTTTCCCGCATACCACAAAGCACCACCCCCCATAGAAAAACCGCCTACTCGCCATCATTCCTTGGCTGTTGTTTTTGCTGTGTCAAAAAAGAAACCGAAAGAAAAAGAAATAAAAACCCCTCTCTCGCCCTCTCTCTCGTTTGGCTTTGTTTATCAACAAAATCTAGAGCAACCCATTTGGCTGCTCCTCCATTTGAAGGAAAAATATACGCAGTCCCATTCCATTTTTCGCTCGTCACTTCATTGCTTCCGAGGCAGGTCTTAAGTGGAGGCAATTATTAATTTAACTGCAGCAGCTTCTCCTATCCCCATTTGTTCTCAACTTTTGCTATATGACCCTGGAGGCTCACTGAATTTTTTTGGACCCATTTTCGCAGCGACAGTGGGGAGGCTTTGAACAAGGTATACATGTGTGAGGTGTGATGATGGGTTTCAGCTTTCAATTCTCGAAATGTTTTCTTTTCACCTTCATTTTTTTGAGAGACAATTGATTACTGTTATTTTTGCTGTTGCTTCTCTGTCTTCGTTGATCTGATGTGTTTTTGCGGTATGATTTCCAGTTAGGGATTGTTGTTGCTGATTAGTTCTAAAAATCGTGGCCGGTAGGGTGTTTACTCGATGGGTATTCGCCATTTGTTTCCCTCTCCCTCTTGTTTGCCGTTTAGTTTGAATCACGCCAACCTTCTTAGGGTTTGATGCTGAAGCTTGCAGGGCTGCTCTGTACGAAACGTTTTTTTTTTCTTGGGTAGAAAAGACGAGTTATTTCGGGATTTACATGCTTTCTGGTAAAGTGGGTTTTAAACTGTTGGTTTTAACATAATCTTTTCTCTCTGATTAAATGCTGCAAGGAATTTGTTTGCTGCTGCATGTAATGCTTGTTTTTATTTGTGAAGTATATGATATTTTACTCTCTTTGATAATTTATGACGTCTTAGTTGGTTTGCTCTGACGATTCCCCAAGCTAACATGGAAGCATGTAGATTTTGAGCGTTCTTGCCGTGTCGTGTATTGGATGACTAAAAGTAATGTCATGTGTAACGTCAGAATATGATAAAGTTTTCTTCTGTTTGTTGAATTCCGTCGCATCATTTATGAGATAATGGCTTTTGTATTTCCATTTGATATCAAGTTTTGCTTTACCTCTGTCTCTGTTCCAAGCACAAAGGCTATGGCTGTTATGCTATGTATATTTGCAATTGTTATAAGATGCGGAGTCATTTTTAGGTTCTTTACTTCTGTGGGACGTGGTTATGATGCTTTGTAATGTATTAGCTTTTCTTCGTTACGAATTACCTAATAATTCTTAGGATTTTCTCTGCTAGGGTTGGGGGGGGGGGAATTCTGACTTCTTCTTTTAATTGAGCGTTTTAGTTGTGCACATTTACCTTTCCATTCTCAAGTTAGCTTACTTTTGGAAAGGGGAAGAATTGTATTGTATATGTCTTCTTCTTTTTCTATTAGTGATAATTTTTTGTATGTTTTTATATTTCGGTTCTTTGTTTGGTATTATTAGTTGCATTGTTATAAATGCCCTTTATTTTCTCATTAAATCCGTACGTCTGCATCATCTAGTATGTTCTCAGGTGATAGAATCCCTGTTTGTCATTTTTTTCCGGCATTTGGATATTCTAATTACCAGTTTGAATTTTGCCCCTTTTTTGGGCCCTCATTTCCCCCCTCTAATACTCATTAGGTCCTCCCTTTTAATTCTATGGCGGGAGAAACATCATGGATCATTCACTACCTTGATAACGCAACCAGGGAGCCTAGGGAGTTTGATTCATTTTTAGAGGTTGGTGAGGAAAGCGATAAAGAAGTCACTGCTGTTTCTGTGGATAGTATTTTGCCGGATGACCTGTTGGAACGTATCCTTGCCTATCTTCCCGTTGCAAGCATCTTCAGAGCAGGTTGTGTGTGTAAGAGATGGAATGAAATTGTTACTTCAAAGAGGTTTCTATGGAATCTTTCACATGTGCTTCCACAGAAACCTTGGTACTTCATGTTCACAAGCTTTGATGAGCCAACTGGTTATGCTTATGATCCCATCCTTCGGAAATGGTATGGCATTGAACTTCCCTGCATTGACGCTTCTAATTGGCTCATTGCATCATCATGTGGTTTAGTTTGCTTCATGGACAACGACAATCGAAGTGAATTATTCGTGTGCAACCCCATTACTAAAATCTATAGGCAGCTTGAGGAGCCCCCTGGTTCTGACTTTTCTGAGTATAGTGCATTGGCAATTTCAGTGAACAGAATCTCACAAAGTTATAGAGTGGCAATCGTGAAATCGAAGGAAGTGCCTGAGAACTTCTCCCAATCTGTTATTTCAATTCATATATACAACTCAGAAGATAAGACCTGGGTGACCAGTTTAACAGAGGTTTTGATAGGGTGGAGAGGTGGTGGTGAGAGTGTGATATGTAATGGGGTGCTGTATTTTTTGGTTTATTCAACTGGGGGCGGTCAACCAGAAAATCGTCATGCCCTATTTGCCTATAATATCACCAACCATTCGTCTCAGCGATCATTGGCAAGGAGCTATATTCCAATACCTTGTCCTTTAACATGTGGTCGTCTGATGAATTTGAAGGAGAAGCTTGTAATGGTCGGAGGTCTTGGTAAACTTGATCGGCCTGACATTATAAAAGGGATTGGCATCTGGGTGCTAAATGATAGGAAATGGGATGAAATTGCTCGAATGCCTCACAAATTCTTTCAAGGATTTGGAGAGTTGGATGATGTCTTTGCTAGCAGTGGTACAGATGATCTAATATATATTCAAAGCTATGGAGCCTCAGCACTTCTCACATATGACATGAACCATAAACAATGGAAATGGTCACAGAAGTGTCCAGTGACAAAAAGGTTTCCACTGCAGCTCTTCACCGGATTTTGCTTTGAACCCAGGCTTGAAATTGCTCCATAGTTTGATCATACGTTATAAATGCTGCTATTGACTGTGTCTACAATCCCTACCCCTTGTGCTCTGTTTTGTTCTTCCAAATTTATTATGATATGATTTCTGTCTGCCATCTTCCAACAGTCTATACAAAATGTACTTGCTGATAAAGTTGTTTGTTCATGGATACTGGAATATCTTTTATAGCATTCGAAAATACAGAAAACTATATGGATGAGTATATATATATATATATATAATACTAATGAGTGCGTGTGTGTTGGCTGTTTCTTATTCTCTGTATTTGTGCGCTTGCTCTGGTCAGAATCACCTTTTTTCTCCCCTTGCGGCCTGCATCACCACGAAATATGTGATCTGTCTTAGACGTCTGCTCTAGGAATTGCTGGAAGCGGTTTTTGTTTCTGGGAAGTTTCAGAGATCTGGATATTGCTTCGCTTTCCAAGAAATATCTAGGTGATGGTGCATCCACTTTTCTTTGCTTCGTTTTAGCAAAAGAATATAAAAATACTATTGTTTTTGGAAGAATTTTAATAAAATTTCACACAAAAAAATTAATTACTATAAAATTTATTGACAATTAAATTAAACTGTATTGATAATTTTCTTGTGTGGGACTTGGGGTTGTAATTCTTTCATTGTTTTTCAAGGAAGAGATTCATCAGACTTATCTGTCACGTTCTCCATGCAGTTCTCTTCAACCCCACCTCAGTTTGTCAGCAGTCAGCACTATGCAAGATTGGCTTTGTCCAAAATCTATTTCCATGTCGTAGAATTCATTCTGCCTTGCTTTCCAATAGCTTGCACTCCGCTACAAGAATATAATAATTTATGGCTTATGAGTATACACTGTTGTGTTATTGCCGGGAATTTGTTAGATAGTCTGGTTTATTAATGTTAAAGTGAAGAGACTTTGATCTTAAAAGGAGGGAAAAAAAAGGGTCTATAATATGAAATGTTTGTTAGTTGTGCTGAGTGGCAGTGATTTGGAAAGGATTTAATGTAACCCTTTTTGATGTGTTGATGAGCCAACGAGCATAGGGTATGGTAAGGAGAAAGATCACGGCAATAATTCAGTTCACTGATTCTGTGTTGCTTGCTGCTCTGCATGTGGGTGGGGGACGAAGTGTGTCGCCCGTACAATGCAATAAAATATATGCAAAGGGAGGACGGAAGTGTGAGGGTAAGGGTAGGTTCAGAAGAGGGTTGGTGGAGAAGTGAGGTCCACGAGTGGCTTGGTGGGAGGGGTGGGGGTGGTGGAGACGTGACTAATAAAGCCTAAACAAAACAAGCCTTTCTTTTCAAGTGCCCACATCACTTCCCTTCCCAGCCCCGAAAAGTTGAATATTCAAATGCCCTCCTCTTTTAGGGTGTTTGTTTTAATATATAGAATAAAAAATGGAAAATTCACTTCATCAAAACGAAAACATAAAAATCAGAAATTAAAAAAAATTTCTATACTTTTTGTTATAACATAAAAAGTAGATATTATTAAATTATTAAACTGTACTAATGATATGAGTCGCGTTAAACATATCATTTCTACTTTTTCTTCACGACATGGCACGGGATTCGAAGTCTTGAATTGGTTTTCGGGCAAGTTCATTTCTAATTTTCTCAGAAAAAATATAATTCTCTAATTTATGCTATTTGTATTCAGATCTAAACAAAAAAATAGTGGTCCACTTGATTTATCTTATTTGAATAATTTTTGGGAAGTATTGATTTGAAAGGAGGATTAGCTGATTCTAAAGATGGGGATTATTGTAAATTGAAATATGTTAAATTATAACTTTAAATTTGATCAAGCCAAGTTTGTAATTTGAAGTACTGAAAGTCGGGGTGAGTAAATTCAATTTTTATGCAGTCTTGAATTGTGTCTAGTTCAGAAAAAAAGTTATTTTAAGAATGATCTAATTTAGAATTGATGTTACATTTGGCTCAAATCTTAATCTCAAGCAAATTCAAATTTATCTATTCAAAATGCGTGTAAAAAAGTCAATAATATTTCTAACCGCGAGCATGTTTTTTTAATATCCAACTATGAGTATGCTATGTCTAAAGTTTGAAGAGATATTCACTGATTACAAAGTACTAAAAAAATTAGATAAGTACTTTCTGTTTAATATTATACTGTAAGACATTATTTTTTAAGTATCATATTTATAAATATAAGGCATTTTTGAGTTTTTTAAGGTACAATAAATAATCTTTTTGAAAACATTCTTAATTAGAGATGTAATTAATAAGAATTTTAAATTAAAACATCTTATTAAATAATGATATTCATGAAAAGAGTATGTAATTTTAAAATTAATTAATTTATTTATTAAAATGTAATTTAATTAAAGATATCTTATAATAGTAAGCAAGGGAGAAACACTAATATTTTAAATTTTTGTTATCTTTACAATGATTATTATTATTTAAAGATAAAAAAGTTACTCCCTTTATTAAAAAATATAAAATATTTTTAAATGAATCTCACCCTCAATAAAATAATTACTTACTTTTAAATTAATAATATATTTTTATATTTATTTATATTAAACACCTTGCAATAAATTTAAAGTCATTTATCAATGGAGGTATTTTTAAAAAACAAGTAATCATTACACTCCAAAAAATTAAAAATATTTTACATTTTTAAACAATCAATTTTTTAAAAAATATCTTATATTTTTTAAAGGAGAGAGTAAATGCGTACTCCCTCCATCTCTATATATAATATGTTTTTAATCAAATCATGTAAATCAATAAAAATTGGTTATCTAATTAAAAGTATAGTAACATTTTAATTTTATCCCTAATTACTGTAAATAAAAATAAATTCCTTTTTTTAAAATAAATTAATAAGAGTACTTATTTTTTATTTTTTTTAATTCAATAAAAATATAATAATTCATTCATTAAAAAATGTTAATAACCTTTTATATTTAGAAATAATTTTTTTTTTTTTTTTTATATATAAAGACCAAAGGAGTAACTTATATAAATGTTTTATTTTGCATATCAAACTCTCTATAAAAATAAAGAAGAAACATCAAAAGGGTAATTTATTCAGAGACCGTTGAGCCCCCGTGGCTTTCCAAGTTCCGAAAGTGGCTGTTTTTGGGTACGAAAATGGAAGAGGCTCTCGACAAATGACGATTTTGGCGCCAAAAAAAGCACGAGGTCGCTGTCGCGTCTCGAGCCTCGATGGCTCAAACAATCCTCTGCATCAAAATTGATAAATGCCTGACATGAGAAAGGTGAGAATTCAATTGATACGCATCATTAATTGATTTTGGCTCTTAGTGTTAGGTTCTCCCTGCCCGGGGAGTTCCTGGCAATGTTTCTCTATCTGCACATTAATTCTTGTCTAGGGTTCACCGCTGCATTAAATTTTGAGCACCCTATTTGGAAACCTAATGCTGTGTTCTGATTTCTAGCAATTAGGAGCGAGGGCATGTATCTAGGGTCTTAATTGGTTAATACTTAATTGGATTTTGTTCATAATTGCGGGATTTGCTTTGTAGCCTCTCTACTTTCCCCTGGACCCGTTCTTTCTTCTTCTCGGTTGTGTTGGTAAGAATCCATTTCTGACGGAATCTTTGAACGTGAGTTGTGAAAATGAGGTTTCTGATCTATTGGGTTTTCCTGTACTTGACAATTAGTAGTGTGTGGATTTTCTTTCCAATGGAAGGCACGACTTCTTTAGCTCTCTTTTTGAGGGTCTATGTAGAAGTCTCCCTTTTGGAACCACACCATGCCATGTGGTGAACAGGAGGAATTGAATTGAACTTGTGCATTTGAGGAGATGACGAAAAAATCTTTTTTTTTTTTTGAAATTTCATTTCAAATAGCTAGGGCATAGTACTACTTTGCGAATAGGAATCTGACTAGCGGAAAACCCCATCCCATGAAGGCATAAACAGAAAAAGAATTGAATTTACATAATTGCATGCTTACAAGTTACAAGCTTTCCGGTACCGGCAACTAGGGATATGATACGTGGTTGCCTTTTATTTCCTAGATCCTACCATAAGGGAAAATCTAAAACTTTCTTGTTAGTTAATAAACATTTAACAGTCTTCAGGTTATTTTATATTTTATTTTTACCTATTTCTGCTTTTTTTTTAATTCCATGTTGTTTGATTTTGGCGCAGGCATTTTGTGAAAAACTCAACTCCTAAAAAATATGAATGAATCAAGAAAGAGGCGGTTAAGATGTACTACTATATAAAGTATTCGTAGGCTGAAAGTTTAGTACACAACCTCAGAATTTATTACAAAGTATGAAAAATTCTGATTGATCTCGTTGCAGTGTACTAATCTGATCTAGGCATATCAACTCGATTTAAGTTGAATGAGAAACAGCTGAAGCTAACTTATTCATGTCTAATATGTACCTTTTTTCATTATGTGATCATATGACTTGATTTTCTGTGAGGCATCTGAATATTTAGTCAAGTTAAACAACGCCATTTGCACTGACAAAATGTTTTTCATAGAACGATCCGAGCCGATCCCAGCAATTGCATTTGGCATTTGGTTAAGATGCGAGCCCGAGTTGCAGTCAACAACGCCAAAAGACCACAGAGGCACAGGCCATCAGAATGGGAAGTTTTTAATTTCTGGTCAATTTTTTTGTCTTTCTGCTTATCCCTTCTGAAGGCGTCAATAAAAAATATTTTTTCCATCATTTCGTACAACGTTGTTTTGTTACCGCCACCGGTTTCACAAAACCGGATACAAAATATGATTGAAGAAGTCGTAGGTTCCTTTTTGAACTGAGGGATATTTCCGAGTCCTCAAATCAAATTGGTTAAGGCTGACAGTGTGCCCTCCGATGTTCGAAGCATTGGGTTGTTTAGTTGGTTTGCAACTTTAAGGATCAAGCAGAGGCATCGGAACAAAAATTCTCATAATCTGAGTAGTCCGGCTCTGGAATTGGCTTTTTCCTCTTCTAGGGATACACGTTTTTTTTTTTTTTTAATTCTATCATCCAATATTTTGAGAAACCTGGATGTTACCACTTTTAAGACTAATCCAGATCTCATTGTGTGGGACCACTTAGTACTTGGAATACAAATGTTTTACCACCACGTTTGTATAATGCATTGGATTTGTTCGATCTGCCCCTTGCAAGTCTCACGTCAAAGTTTAGAATGTTGTTTTATGCGGGTCCTTTTTAGTACAATCTTTAGTTACAAGACTATGGCTTGACCAGAACTTGCTTGTTGCAGAATTTGTGTGATTAGTCCGGCAAGAGCCAACTGAGTGAATTTATTCATTGTGTTGAAGTAAATGAAACATTAAAGCACAATCTACAAATAATATCTGAATGTTTAATGATGCGTCGAGGGATCATGATTTTTTTTTTTAATAGAAGTTAATTTAGAGAATGGTACAAAGCCTGAAAAACAATATTTTATAATAGATTATAACTTAGTAAATTAAATGATTCTTGTTAATGCACGCGTGAATAACGACTTTACTATACAGGTTCAAATTGCGGTCACGTTCAATGAATTCAAATCAAGTGCCCAAGTTGCTGAGTGCTATAATATCAAAAGGCATAACTATAGGTTGGAATACCACTGGTATGGCATTTCCAGCCGAGAATCATCTTGTCTTGTGCTCGAGGATGTCGATTTTGATCTTAGCTTCTCTGTGTATCCATTTCAAGCATATTCTCAGCTTCTTGTTCATATACTTAAATTTTGAAGAAAAGATTATTAAATTTTCATCTCAGCTTCTTGTTCACATTCTTTTCTGATTGAATATGAGTTTCTCCCTCTTCTTTTTCATTTTCGTTAGGAAAAAAAATAATCTGTTCGTTTCAATAAATTTACCTAGTTTAGGGTTCTTTTTTATTGAATCCTTAAGAGTTATTTTCTTCAGAGGCAGTAGTCCTTGTTCATAACCATAATTGTCGTTAGATGTGCTGAGATGGCTGACAGGTGGATCACTTGGGCGATGAACAAGCATACAGGTGGGAAAAAAATGCCATATCACCTTCTGAGTAGGCTCAACATACACCAAGTCGATAGACATGGCTAAAGCATGTGAAGCTTTTTGGGTCAAACTACAAAGATTGAAGGCACTTGGGGTTTTTCCTGGCACGAAGGAAACTGGAGGAGATCATTGTCATCCGAATTTGATCCCATGCTCAGGGTCTTCATATTTTCTCCTCCAATCGAACAGGCAATTGCTTTGTAAATCCTAATTAACTAATATGAAAAGTTCAAACATAGGAAGAAACTCATTGTCAGAGGTTTCAGAAGTACAACCAGCAAATCCAGTGATTTCATCCTCTAAATGCCTACCTGACTTCAGGAATAATCATACAACGCTATGCTCTTATCATCTGATACACTAGCAAGCCGGCCAACTCGGATGTTGCTCCCTCCAAGTGGCCTAAATGCAATTCCCCACACTTGGTCTGCGTGGCTGCTCATTGTCTGTACAGGAGCCCTCATGTTCAGATCCCAAAGCCTCACAGTTTTATCGCTTGAACCTGTGGCGATGGCAGACCCATCTGGGCTAACATCCACGCATAGCACCCAACTAGCGTGACCTGACATGGATGCAACCAGGCTTCCTCCATCAGCATCATACATGTGGACATGCGCATCATCCGAAGCTGTAAACAACAGCCTTGGATCATAGGGTGAATATGCAAGCGAGCGCACCGGCATGTAGTGGCCTTCAAGGTGGTGTAAAAATTTGCCACGAGTTACATCAAAGACCGAAAGGGTGCCATCCATCGAGCCACAAGCAAGCCGTTTACCATCAGGGCTCCACGCAACTGATAGGACAAACTTTTTACTGCTACTTCTGTCAGTTGGCTTGGGCCCTTCTGGACGAGGAATAGACAGGGTGGCAACAAGCTCCCATGTGGAAGTGTCCCATAGCTTGACTGAAGCACTACTTCCACCGGCAACTGCCAGAATGGAACCCTGACAATAGGGTTGTTAGAATTGTCAAATAACCAAGTTGATATTCAATACAATTTTTTCTAGTTTCAGTGTCACGGGGAATTGTCATGCTAGCTTAGACTACGAGACATCAGATAACTCTGCCACATAATGATAAGCTACATAAGCAAAAATAAATCGCCTAGCAAAGTGTGAAGAAGGAAATGCGTAGTTTAATTTTCTCAGGCTTCGAATGTTTTTCACCACCAATGAAAAAATACAGAAAAAGTGAGATAAAACCATCAGCACCAGGAATTTCAGATAGTTGACGTACATGGTAATATGGTATGTGGTGTGGAAGGCAGGGGGTAGTTGATTAGTATTTCACATTTACAATAGTTAAATGGTTATGTATCAATTACATAAATACAAGATTTTCAATGCATTAAAGAGTTAGATATGATAATAGTGAAATGACCTGAAAATTTGCCATTCCTAACCAAGCTTTGGGTTATAAGACTCACAAAAAACTAAGGTTGAAACAGGACACGTAACCAGATATATGCAGAAGGAAAAACCGCTCAAGCTTAAAGGAAGCACAGTAATCGGCTAATCACTAATCGCAATGTAAGACAAATGAGTGTATTTCTAAGAGTAACCAATCCGGTTCATGTAATAAAGGTTTTGATGAAGCAAACAGACGATGCACATATTCAGCAAAATACATTCTAGATGTGGCAAATCAATCTACATAAGCTACGATCATTGTGACCTTTAATGTAAAGGAGAGGGTGAGGCTACGATCATTCCTCCACCCAAAGAATATAGGAAAACCTATTGTTACATCAATAGTAAGGAAAAATGATGAGCTTTCAAATGAGCACTCCTTATAATTTTTCCATGTTTTGCTCAAGTTAAAGCCAACTAATATTTAAAAAAAAAAAATTACCCCTAATCTAGCCCTTCCCCGTAGAAAAGACAGAGACACACTCACGGGCATGCAAACGTGAACATTAGGTCCAAATGCAAGACCCCTTCCAAATGAGTAAAGTGGAATTGCCACTAAGAAATGCTACTTCATATTGCTGATCTTGAGGATCGAAATTGTTCTGAGAGTTTAAGAAGCTCCATTAACTAAAGGAGATCATACATTAGAAGTTTTATAAACAAATGCATATAGGGGAAAATCTAGGAGATCTTTGGTGTATTCAAAAATAAATCTAAAAAAATTGAGATATTTGATATACACAACTTTTAAGCCAGCAAGAATGCAAAAAAATAATTTTACCAACTCAAGGAAAATTTCATACATGAAGCATATGCCGAACTTTATATATTAAAGAGAAGTGGGATTGCATGCATGAAAAATGACCTTTACCAGGCGTTCCCGAATCAACTGAAAATACAGATAAGGATAAGGTTTTCAGAAAGATTCAGAAAATACGAATCAACTGAAAATCAACTTTTAAGTGGAGCATAGAAGATTTTGAGAAATCATACAAGCGATTTAAGCCTCAAGTCCAATAAGAGGCCACACACTAGTTTAGTGTAAGTGTATAACTGGCAATGGCTCAAGCTAAAAGCACAGGTCTTTTCATTTCTAACACCATTTCGGGATCTCTACCGCTGCTGCACTTCCACATCAACAAAACACAGTCCTCATTCTCAAGGTTCAATCAGATATTAAAAATGGAAAAAAATATTTCCCCGTACTATTTAGGACATAATAACCACTACACACACACACACACATTAAATCTTTAATATTTTGAAGCTCAGAAACTTTGTAAATAGGTTTTGTAGATACCCAATGGGATCCAAATTTTATGGCGTCGGAGAGAGTAGTAAGTCATAAATTCTGTAAAGAATATTTCAGTACTTAAGCTTCCGGTACATATCTTTCAGAGACCATATGTTGTATATTTACTCCATGATAAATCGAGATGCTTGAAAACACAGAATTTCATGTATCAACAGGAGTTCAATTACCTTGGGATCAAATTTCAATTGCCAAACTTCAGACGGGGGAGCTTCCAGAGTAGCGATAGTGGCGTTGGAATCGACATCGAAGACCCTAACGAAGCTATCGAGGGAAGAGGACGCAGCAATGGAGCCGAGAGGATGCGCCGCGACAGAAGCAACACCGAGGCAGTGGCCGGTGTTGGTGCGGTCATGGACGAGGTCATCGGACCGCCACAGCCTCACAGTCTCGTCCAGTGAGCCCGTGAGAAGAAGGGGAGATCGAGAGCTTGTGGCGGGAATCCATGTGACCGCCCACACCGACTCGTCGTGCGCATTATCCACTGATTTCAGAGGTGTCAATTTCATTGTGTAGGAATTGAGTCTGTAAGAACCCTAATCAGAAAAACAACAAACAGAAACTTTCAGAAGGGATGCATCCAAAAGGGGACCTGTGAACTGTGAAGCATCGCAGTGCACTTTATAAGTATGAACATTAAACAACTAATTTTTCATAAACTTTGGCCGGGATTTAACATACAGTAATAAAAGAATATGACATTTTTATACTTGTCCCAAAAAATTTTTAGAGAAAAACACAATGTTTGATTCCTATAACTTCTGGATGTTTTGCTTTTACCTCCCCTAGTTTATTTTTGTTATGTGTCTCTTTTTAGTTTCTACAGTTTATAATGTAAGTTGCTTAGATTATTAATGCTGTTAAATTTGCTTAGGTGTTATTAACACGGTTAAATATTGTGGTTAGGTGTTAAATTTTGTCCGGTTGGCACATAACTCAACATTTGTTGGGATACAAAATAAAAAGAAAGAAAAAAGCATAAAATAAATGAGCTGGAATAAAAATATGAACTAAAATAATAAACCTCTCATTTGCGACACTAGGGCACTCAATCAATGGACCCCACAGTTGAAGTGGAGCTGCATGTTCGAGATCTCATCGAATGGAGACGAAAACTTGCCGGATCCTAATCGTCGACGGAGGTGCGTATTCTAGCCATTTTTGTCTGCATTTTCTGCCATAATAAAAATCGAACATGGGTATAAAGATAACTTTCATGTTTAACTATATATTTCGTTCGCTTTTTCCCAATCATCAATGAAGACTTTGTGTTTTCTGGGTGCTTTCTAAAATTCATTCCTACAATTTCGTTTCATATTCTCCCATTTCTCATTTATGAATTTGCTATTTCTACATGTCATTTCATTTGTGCTTTTTAAGTTGTCGTTGTTGATTTGTCTCCCTTACTTTGTTTTTGTAGTTGGTAATTTTCTTGTCTCTATTTCTAAGAATGGCTTGCTTGTTCGTATTTAAATATTGAGGTATCATAATTTGTATTTGTTGCAAGGTGCAATATGGATGTGGAGAGTGGGACTAGTCACAAAACTGAAGGGGACGATCTTAGTGGAAGCAGTTTTGAGGATTCTTTGTCAAATTTAGAAAATAGTAATGAAGAATATATTGATGATGATTATTTGCATCAATATATGTTGCTGTTGGCTTCCACACTCACTCTTAAACTATGAGTTTCCATTACTCAAATTTCAAAATGTTATAAATGTCTGATCCACATTGTTTGGTTTAAAATTGATTATATTGAGTATTGTGCCTGACCTATGCATTACCCATAGTTTGTTGACAATGCTAAGCACATTAATAATATAATATGCCAATCATTATGAGCAAACTCAATGGAGGTCACACCATATGAATTTTACTGATGTAGCCATTTACTACTCCAGGGTGAATTCTCACACATCATGATCATACAAGTTCAGTTGACATATGCAAATATATAATCATGCATATAGAAATTATTTAACATATTCATAATTATCAAAACTTGCATGTATATCACAACTCATACAGCCACAAGGTTAAAGCAACCCATTCTATTAACATTAATCACACATAGCCAATCCAAGCTCACCTTTCATATCTCATCATTACATAGTATTTACTTAAACGTTGCTATCAAGCATTTTATCACTACTAGACATGCTTGTCATATAACAACAATTTTAAAATCACATAACCTATAGAAAATCCATACTATTTAGTTAGGTTATTGATTACATAACAGATAATTACAATTGTAAATATAATGATATGCAATGATTAAATTCTTAGTTACTTCAACTCTTAAGTTTACCATCCCAAGAATGTAATTTTGGATTTATAGAGGAGCTTCTTGCCAAAGTGAGCTTCGAAACACTATGCTCTACACATGATGTTATAAAACAGTATTAATAACTAATCATCATTAATTAACCTTTGATCATGATTAAGGCCTTAGCACATTATTAGGCAAGATTAGGCTTAATTAACCTTAAAACTAACTTTCATTAACTTAGTTAGCTCCTAACAAGCTTAATAATCAATGCTAGTTACCCTCATTATTTTAAACTAAATCATTTAATATTAGGTTTTTACTTTAAACCCCTCTTTAATGGCATTTAAATGCTGCCAACCACTAAAACTTAAGAGTAGAAGCATTAATTTACATCCATAAACTTCATTTAGGTCATAGGAGGGGCTATGACACTTAAAAAAATTAGAACAACTCCTCTCTTGATCGAAACTGAGTAGAAAGAATGCATTAAGAGGAAGGAGGAGGGTTGCAATAACCTCTATCATTAACTCAAGTTAGACTCCCCTAAACATACAAATCTTAAATACTTAGGATCAACCATGGTATTACAGTTATTGACTTCATAAAAGCCATCTTTAAGTTAGGATTCTAAGGATCATTAATAAAAATCACCATAAAATATTTTTAAGAAATAAGAGTATGGAAAACTATGTGGAAACATGAGAATGGTACAAATTTAGGTCAAAATTGTCTTTTCACAAAACTAGTAAATTCACACGGTTGAAAGCCCATTTGCTTAATAATCACCTAACAGGCTTAACAATCACTGTGGCGCAAGGTGCATGTACTACGGCATATAACACAGTAAAGCCATATGCTCATTTTGGCCTCCCTCTCGATCCTGACTTGTACACCATCTTAGCTCACTTTCAAAACTTTTAAAATATTATCAATTCATAAATCACTTATTTTGACTAAAATTACCCTTGTTAAATACTTAAAATTTCAATTTGAAATTCAAAATGTTACACTTTACAGCTGTAGCAATTGGAAGTTTGGTAGGTGTCGATGTTAGAGGAGCATTAGGAGTTGAACATATGCAATATAAAATAAAGTCTTACTATCTGTGTTTGGCCTTGGATTTTTGCTAAGTTGATGCTACCTTTTTAAAGTGCATAAGGAGAAAAAAGGGATTATGAAAAGAAATTGAATGTGATAACAAACTAAACTACCAAAGCAGTATACAACAATACAAGAACTAAAAAATATTGACAATGATTGAATCCTTATAGTAGGATAAACCTTAAAAAAAATGCTAATATACTATAGTTGTATGACAATGATTGACTCCTTTCTTCATGTACTTATTGTCATCATGATGTAGAAGGGAGTAAAAAAACCAAGCCAAAAAATGGGTAACATAGATTGATAAAAGGGAAGGCAGAGAAAAAGAGAATACCCACAATGACAGGTGAGGGTTGGGATCTTTGCCATCATTTAAGGTAACTACAGAGGAGTGTCACACCCTTTTCTTCTCTAGTCCTCCTGATTTCTACACCACACCAAAATTATTGCACTTTTTTGTCAAAATGACTAAATGAAGGAGAAAGCAGTAGCAAGATGTTGCAAGGAGAACAAATATGAAATAAAATAATGGAAATATGTGAAGGAAATAACCTAGTAGAAAGAAAGAAACAAAAAATTTATTATGAACCCACCCAAAATTAGAGAAAGAATGGTTGAAAATGAATAAAAGGACATGAAGAAAGAATATAATGGTTTATGAGAAGAAAATGTTGTGAATGAAATGGTTGGGTATGAGGACACAATAAAATAACAAAATATCATAGGAAAATGATAGTAGACATTGATAAAAATAAAGATAATGGTGCAACCACACAAGTGAATGCTCTCACTCTCGTGAAAGTCTTGATGTATTTGTTTTAATTTTGAAAATCAATAAGACTGGGACAATGCATCGCTTTTAAAAAAGGATGGAGAACCAATGACAAAACACTAATAACCTAAGGCAAAAGTCCTTCAACCAATTAGTGACTAGTATTACAATTAGCCTAAAATGCAACAACCAATAAGAGATAGTCCTTTACTGGCCAATTAGCTTAACCCTATGAGATTTGTAGAACATAGTTGATGATTGATAATTGATAGTTAACGCTTTATAATATTAAATAAGGAATAGTAAGTTTGAGACACGATGCATGAATGTGAGCATTTTTTATGAGAACTTGAATCTGCATTTGTTACATTATGAGAGAATGGTTCTTTTTTCCTCTTATTAGACCCAATAAGCACTAAATAGGGCTATATCTATGAACGAGCATTTAAATATTAGTTCCTAAGGTTGTGAAGAACTAACATTTCTCACTAAATTCAACATAGTTTGGGATAAATTTAGAGGGGGCTAGGGTGGCAATTGCCCCCACCCTCCAATCACTCTTTGAAAAAAAAATTAACAATTTTGGTTGTAACAAATGTTAAAATAAATTTTGGCTCCCTCACTTCATGTTACATTTTCAATTTTGCTCCCTCATACATTGGTTCCTGGATTCGTTATTGAACATAGTTGGTTTATACTTCATATTAAATTGGTTGGTAATTGACACATTGTTGCAAGATATAAAAATGAAGAAAAGGCCCGAAAAGAAGAGACTAGGATTGGGCTATTATTGCTATTGTTGGGCTTCGCTGCCCGATATTTCCATGAATTGAGATTATATCTATATGAGTGTTTGGATTTTTTTTACTAAAACTATGGTTATTGACACATAATCAATTAAAAGTGCCTATCTAAACAAGCACCATGAGCCCGTTTGAATTTCAATTAAATATAATTAATTATAAAAATAATTTATTAATATAATTAATTTTAATTATAATTGATTATGTTATAACACAATATGTTTAGATGTTATTTTTTTAAAATTAATTTTAACCGTACAAATTATCATAAAGGACATTGCTTTTTAAAATTTAATTATTGATGAAGCTATTTTTTATATTATTAAATTTGTTAAAATTTATTTAAAAGTAAAATATATCTTTTAACAGTAAAATTAAATTTATAAACAGCCTTTTAGAATTTATTTTAAAATATAATTCTGATTTAATAATCAATTATCAACTTTTTTTTGATTGTTTGAGTAATTTTTTCAAAAATCAGTTATTTTAGCTCAAAAATTGATTTTTCTTTAAATCCAAACAGTTTGTATATTGTTGACCTGAGCCGATCAATAGGTCTGCTCGCGTTGAATTGTGTTTCTTTAGCATTGATCGACTTTTTTATTTAAATTTAAGCCCTCAGTTTAGGAACCGTACACCCAGCTATTGCAAGGAATTAATGTACCAATACACGCACATGTAGCAATAAGAAGCTACACTATTCATAAACAATTGACCTC